TACCAATGCCATGACAATATCAGGAAGTTACCCTATATGGTCTAAAAAGGGGAGGCATGAATAATCCACCCCTTGTTTAGCATATTATCAAGAAAGAACCCTAAAAATGGGCAACCAGCAGCCCTCGGGGCTGCTCTGTCTATGGAGTAGCCATTCTTTTGTTCCTTTACTTTCTTAATAAACTTGCTTTCACTTTACAGACTTGCCCTGATTCCTTCTTGCATGTGATCCAAGAACCCTCTCTTGGGATCTGGATTGAGACCCCTTTCCTGTAACAGTTGGAGTTTGGAAGAGATGAAGAGCCTCCATTTCCCCATCCCCCCATCCCTCCAGCAGAGAATACAGGGTCTACTTTCCCCTTTCCTAAAGGCTACAGGAGCCCACAGCAGCAGAGCCTTAGGGTGCTGCTCTCTCTTTCCTTTTCTGAAATGAGAGCTGTCCAGGGAATCAGAGACATCCTTCCCCCTTCTCTCTGTTAGGATGCTGGTGAGTTCTGCTTTTCCCACTTTGTGAGCAAAGCACACATGTGCACACCCAGCAAGCCAGATCACTTCTAAACAAACTAAAAATACTGACTTATCTCAGAGGCCCGTGCTGAAGGAGCTTGTTTAGGGTATCGGATGGACCTTTACAAATAGAAAATCCTTCCGTGTTACCTGCTGTTACACCCCATGGCTTCCTGCCCTGGAACAGAGCAAAGGATCTGGGGAGACTGAAGCAAGGGGCCATCAGGGTTTGGTGATACTGCGTCTGATTTGTCCTCTCCTCTAGACTCTAGACAACTCCAGGGCAGATCCTGGAGCCTCAGCCCCAGTCTGGGACCTGGCACATAGAAGGCACCCCACAAGGGTTGGTGGCTGGTGGGAACACAGCAAAATGGGAATTCCTGGGCTGGTACTGTGCAGGTGATTGAAGTCAGCTGCCTAGGGTTACAATATCCCATTTCCCAGTCTGGGTAGGAGAAACCCAGGTACATGTCCACACATGTCCACTCTGTTTGCCTCTCCCTCCCACCCGGAGTCCTTCCACAGTGTCCGCTCCTTGGGACGTCTGCTTCCCCAGCATAAGCCTCTGGGGCACTTGGCTGCAGAATGGAAGAAGATCAAGTGCTCTCCTGTTCCAGGTCAGGCACTTTGGATTTAACCTTGAGGTGGAGGCTCAGCTGCCCTGACAACCCGCAGCTCATTTCTACAGCAACACCTCCTGCAAAGGTAGCCCAGCACGTCCTTGGCCAGCAGCTTCCTGCGGTGATAAAAATAGCTGAGGCCCTGCAGCTGCTGAATGATGAATTCTGGAAGGAGATGATTGATTCTCACAGCTGAGTCTCGGGGTCAGCAAGCGTTGTGCAAGTGGAGATGCCAGGGTGAAGGATGGGGGTTCTGCTATAGATAGAGCTGTTGACAGAGTGATCCTGGGCTTCTCCCCACCTGAGGGGAACACAAACTGAGCTAATTAGAAGGAACTGCAAAGGGCTGTTGGAAATGATGCAGACGCGTGCATCCTTTACTTTCAGGCCATCTTTGACCTTTTTGGAATGTGCAGTCATTTCCCCTCCATCCTTCTGGCACAAGATTCAAAGTGCGGAGAGAGTGTTCATTTCCAGGGAAGGCAATGGGGTGGTAAAGCTAGAGGACTGCCTGCTTTCCCTAAAACAATGGTGAGGAACTGTCAGGGCTTATGAAACACCACAGGGACACCAATGTCAGACAGCACCTAACAGCCTGGAGTTAAAATCTGCTCCCCGCTTGCTCAGGCTGGAGGAGTGCTCCTGCTGGCCTTGCCAGGGGACTAGCCTGTGGTCTACCATGGCTGCACTCTGATTAATCACAGGGATCCAAGGTTAACTGTGCACATGAAGCTCCTGACCAGCACCAGAGTAGCTTGTAAGCCAGTGCCCATGTCAAAAGCCATTGCAATTGCACTGTGCACAAATAAACAGCTGGGCCTGTGACATTGCACAGCTGGACTGGATCTGGCAATTCATAGATATCGCCATATGCATTTCCTTTACAGTACATATTTTCTAGGCAATCTATCCCCCAGTGTTCTATAAAGTAATAAGAATAAGGTTTCAGAGAAAGGGAGAGAGAGAAAAGTCACTGGAGAATGGGGAAATTAAGAGGCAAATGAAAAAGGATATGTTTTCAGATGAGATTATTAAAAAGACGATGAGTTGATGAGGTGGCCAGATGAAGAGAAGATAATCCAGATGGCTGTTGCTCCCAAAGAGAAGGCTCTGTGTTGTAATCACAGCAGAGAAAAAGGGTGAAGGAGACCTACTGGCTTTCATGAAAGAGACAAAGGGGAGACCCTGCAGGGGAGTCTGGGTGAGGACCACAGGCTTGAAAGCAAAGTGGACCCTTCCTTTGTCTTTATTGGAACCATACGAAAGGCGAGCCCTGAATGCCTTCACTCCTTTCTCTCTGTCCTTTGCTCATTATCTGTTCCTCTGAATTATATCTTGGCGGCTCCAAACCCTTCCCCAGGTAGCTCCCGTCTCTCCTACCCGCTAAGGTATCCTGGAGTCACCTCTGCCTCCAACAGTGCCCTTGGGGATGCAGCATGTGTAACTGACTCCACATGCTCCGGTTATCCCTGACTGTAGAGTTCACACAGCAGCTATCTGTATGCCTCCTCATTACATAAAATTTAGAGTCAATTCAAAGGAGGGTAACAAGATGATGAGGGGTCTGGAAATGGAGTCAGATCAGCTTAGGAGAGGTAGGGGCTGATACTGTAACTAGTCTGGAAAAAAGAAGATTTCAGATAACCCTGCAGGTCATCTCCAGGTCTGTCCCTCATATTTGTGGGAGATAAATGCAGACCCTTCTCTTCCAAACCCCCACTCTGTCCTACTGCAAGAGGTGTTGCACACATGTACGTGTGTGGACAACCCAGGCTGCACATCCAAGCTGCATCTTCACACCCCACCAGACAACGGCCACTTGGCCACTGCTGGAACCTGGGGAGTGCACATCAGGAATGCGGGCCATCTTTCAGAGGACACACCCAGGAAGAAGCCACAGGCTGGGGTCATTGGGCAGGGAACCCCCAGGCTTGTTACCTGCAGCAAGTCCTAGAAGAAGGCCTTCCTGGGTCCAGGCGGGCCCGTCTCCACGGTCCCACTAACTTGTCTTGCTCATGGAAAGTGGTATGGCCCAGGAAGGGCTAGAATGGAGCTCCCAAAATGTGGGGTCTATGGAACAGACCCCTTGCCAGGATCTAAGTCTGGCGCTGAGTATGACCAACTCAAGCTGTCCAAACTGGATCCCAAATCTGCTCCTTCCTCTACATTCTGCCTCATGAAAGCTTTCATTGTCTCCTGCAGGGGAACCCCGACAGCCTGGCCTTAACCCCTCACTTCTCCTCTTTCTCCATCTCTAATGCAGCATTCAGTCCTGCTGACTCCAACTCCTTCAGGCCTCTAGAATCTTCCTTCTTTCCCAGCCCCTGTATGCCCAGTGACAGTTCTCACTTTGTGCTGGGACTGATTGCCTGGCCTCCTGAGTTGAACTCTTTTCCTCCAGTCTCCACACTGCCAGTCCAGCAATCTCTCCCTGGGGTAAATATGTCCTTACCACTCCCTGTCCAACCTAAAGCTCTTCAGGGGCTCCCTATGCCAATGGGATCGAACCCAAGCTCCTGAGCCCAGCACACAAATCCTTCCATAGCCTGACCGCTGCCCCTGGCCTCTGACTCTCAAACCTTGGACGTTAATGCAACAAACATACCATTTCCTGCCTCTTTGCTCACACTGCTCCCTCTCCCTCAAGGGCCTTTTCTGTCCTGTCTGCTTGGTCGATGTGAACTCACTTTCTCCTGCATGGAAATCTTTCCAATGCCCCCTCCTCTTCCTTTCCTCCCCAGGTAAAATTGATTATTTGTAAGATGAACTGAGGTCTACATCGTAGCAAATAAAATAAAATATTTTCTAGCATTTAATTATTCACAAATCTGTTTTTTTTTTTTTTCACCGGACCATAGTCTCTCTAAGGCGGGGTCACATTGTTCTTGGCAACCCTGTGCCTGACACAGAAACACGTGGTGAACTGAAATGGAAAGTGTGTATCTGATCAATGCTGGTTGCCACAGACCTAATCCTATGTTGATGAGCACATGTCATTTTTTGTTCTCACAAGGTGTTATATATGGTAACACTTTCTAAACAATGGACAGAAACTGATCACAAGTTCTAGGCATGCATGCAAGACAGGGAGTCCATAAAAGGTGCTCAGCCTTGCTGAGAACCCCTGGTATCGCCAGCAGCTGGAAAAGCACCCAGAGCCTGCAGCAGTTCCAGGCCTGTGGACTTTGTATCTCAGGTGCCAGGGTTATCTCAGGATGAAAGTCAGGCCAGTTCCTCCAGCCACTTGGCTCTGCATCCCCTTCTCCAACAGGAGGGGCCAGCAGGGACTTCTGGTTTACCTTTGGAAGGGAGGGAGACGGGAGAGGCCAGGCAGGTATGAAACCTACTCAGGTGTTCAGGGCCCAATAGGAAGCTCGTCTACTTGTGACTGAATAAATGGGCAAGGATGCACACAGGATGCGACGCAGCCCTGCCCTGGAAGGCTCATACTCAGTGTGGAGGCCAGGGCAGCAAACCAATGGGATGAATATGAAAGACCTGCCAAGGGAGAGGCAAAAGCCAAAGGATGGGCACACCTGGGCACAGACTTTCACCCACTTCCTCCCCGAGACCGTGTGCTCTCCTCCCCTTACACAGGGGTCCTTGTCCCCCTTGTTCCCTTATCTTCTCTCTGCACAAACTGCCCGCTCTGCCTGGACCGCTCTTCCCGCTGTACCACGCACAGCCTGTTCCTTTCCATCTTCAGTGTCCGCTGAAATGTCCTTTCCTCAGAGGCTTCTTCTGTCACCCCCTTTATAGCAGCTTCTGTACCTTAAACCGCATTATTTGCTCTCAGCTTCTTGTTTATTTCCTTGAAAACATGAATTGAACGAACCGTCTTATTTATCATGTGTGTTGTGTCTCTAATCCACAGGCTCAGTGAGGGCAGAGGCTGCATCCATCTTGTGTTCTCCTGTGTTGACAGCATCCGGGACATAGTAGGGGCTTAATAATTGTTTACTAAACAAATGAAGGAAAGAAGTGCTCTTGTTGGTTCTCTGGTAAGTGGTGATGAGAGATGTCATGGGAGGTACAGAAGTCAGGATGTTCAAGGAGGGCCTAGTAGCATTGTCAAGTGTTTGCCAGATGGAAGAGGCATTGCAGGTGTGTGAGCAGGGATGTGATTCTGAGGGTGATGAGGGGAAGGGTGGGGATACATGTAGGCCACCTGGGGAGGTAAAAGGGGGCAACTGTTGTCCCTTTTTTGGGGGGATGGAGGTAAAAGGGGGAAGCCATTGTCCCTTTTTTGGGGGATGGCCCCTCTCCTCGATGGATGGGACAATGAGGTAAACTATTAAAGGTCCATGTGGACACATCTACCCCTGGGGCACACCCATCCAGGCTAAACAAAATCAGCACAAGCTGAACAATTAGAACTCAGAGAGTTACCTGTGGGGCTTAACAAGGACAGCAAGGACACTCAGGTGACCTCAGATGATTCTGAAACCTGGGAAAAAGACTCCACAAGCCCAGGCCATATGATCATGAGATGCATCTCCTGACTGCCTCTGACTGTTCACAAAAAGCTGGCCAAGGACATTCCAGCTATGCTAGGCCACCAGGCCAAGTTCCCAGGGACAGCAATCCACCGCCGCTCTCCCCCCATCACACCCAAGGGAAGCACATAAAGTAGGCCTGCATCCATGGCCTGGCAGACACCTGCCCCTGGCCCTCTGGGACAGTGCACTGTGTCAGCTGCCAGCAAAACAACAAGCACCTTTGCAATGGGCCAGTGGGCAGGGCTGCCATTGGCAGAGTCCTGGTGATTTATGACACCCAGGCTCAGTGCACCATCCGGGAGTTTCCAGGTAGAATCTCCAGCTTCACCGGGCAAGGGTTCTCCCTTCCAGTGATTTATGGAGCCAGAGTGAGCCAGTTGTTTTTTTCCCTTCCCCTCCATCTCCCTCCTTCTCCAGGACAATTGGGTTTCACATTGCTGTGGGCACTCTGGTCTGCAATGACAAGACAAAGAGGTTCCACTTGTCCCTCTGCCCCCTGCACCTGCTGTCAGGGATGATGGTTATCGGTCAGCAGCCACCTCCATTTCACTGGCACTTTTAGCTCTTTATGTGGTGCCTGGGTCACAGCACCAGCCGCAGGGCTCTCTCGATGGCTTTGCTGGCTGCCCAGATATACTGCTCATCTAGAATAGACCTGACTCCAAACTACAAGGTCAAACGTTCTTCTCCTGACCTACCTTCCCTCCTTCCTTCCTTCCTTTCCTTCCTTCCTTCCTTCCTTCCTTCCTTCCTTCCTTCCTTCCTTCCTTCCTTCCTTCCTTCCCTCCCTCCCTCCTTCCTTCCTTCCATCCAAATAATTCATATATCTTGATTTCTTGGCATGAGACTCCAGGGGGCTGGGGCTGCCTTCCATAGCCAGAGAACAGTCACAAAGCAGCTGGTGCCCTGAGCCTGCTTTGCTTGTGTTGCACAATGAAGGGGCTTGAGCTTTTTCAAAGTCATGTCTTTGTTCCAAGCGGTCAAAAATGAAAGAAGATGATTGTCCATCTCTCTGTTATTCTCAGGTCCCTTTGCATTGCGCTGATGCTACATCAGGACAGTGGTGTCCTCAGGGTCTGAGGGTAGCAGAGGCACAGCCAAGACAGGGTGGGCGGGAGACTGAGAGATGCCTCCCAGCCTCACCAGTTTTGGGAGTCAGAGGTCCTCAGCAAAGAGCCTTCACTCACTTACACCCCCAAGAAGCACTTGGGAATTTACCAGGAGAGGCTGCTTTCTATGGAAAATCACGGACAAAATGCAACAACCAATCACTCTTTGAACTCCAGTCCTTTTTCCTCTGTCATGCATGGGGAAGGGGGAAAAAGTGAGCAGTCAGTCCAGCACCAAGCCCACCTGCCCTCACCCACAGCAGCCCCTCCGCAACCCGCTCAACAGAACTGATGTAAGCCAGGCTGATTGTCTCAGCTCCAAATGTGGCAGCCAGCAGCGGGAGGACATGTCAGGTCTCTGGGATGCCAGGGCTGCTTCTCCAAGGTTACCAGGCTGCTGCACGTGGCTTCATCTTTCTGTTCTCTGGCGGCCTTCATGGCCTTCTCTAGCCTGCCTGTGCACAAGACTGTGCTGGAGACTATGGGATGTGTTGGGGCCCTGTTGGGTGTGGGCGAAGCACTGTTTAGCAGCGGCCCCTGCTCTCGGGGCGATGGCATACTGTGGGTGATTAGTAATATATGCTAGCATTTTGGGACACTTACTCTCTGCCAGGCACTGTGCTAAGTACTTTATTTATATCTTCTCATTGAACCCTCTCAACAACCTGTCAGGAGCACATTATTGCCTCGTTTTTGCAGATGAAGAAACTGAGCTTTAGGAAGATTAGATAATTATCCAAGATCATATATTAGTAACAGGGAGAGCCAAGAATTGGACACATAATTTCAATTCTCGTGTGCTTAGTAAGTTGTACAGCCTTCTTCTATGAGGGTTATTGGGAATTCAGATATTTAAGGTGCACTAGGTACATTAGTCAAAATTCCAAACAACAGTTAAATCCAGCCTGTTTAGACAAAGCTTTTTCCAGAATATGGGCTGGGACAAGGCAGGAACACACCAAACCCTTTGATTCCTCGGGTGAGTCTAAGGCAGCCACCAGCTGCAAATGGTTGCCTCTGCTCCTGAGAGGCTCAGAACACACCTCTTAGCCTCACCTGGATTTATGTGGCTGGGATGAGGCCTTGACAGCAGAATCCAAAGACATAGACATCTTTGAGGAGCCTCTATTCTGCCTATCATGCATAGGTTTCCTTATTAGTCTACATGATAGCCACATGAGGTATGTATTCTGATATGGCTTGGCTCTGTGTCTCCACCCCAGTCTCATCTTGAACTGTAATCCCCACACGTCGAGGGAGAGAGGTAACTGGATCATGAGGGCAGTTTCCCCCATGCTGTTCTTGTGATAGTGATTGAGTTCTCTCAAGGTCTGATGGTTTTATAAGTGTTTCTGAGTTCCTCTTTTGTTCTCTCTCCTGCCTCCTTGTGAAGAAGGTGACTGCTTCCCCTTCCACCATAACTATAACTTTCCTGAGGCTTCCTCCGCCATACAGAACTGTGAGTCAATTAAACCTCTTTTCTTTATAAATTACCCAGTCTCAGGGAAGCTGTTCGCAGCAGTGCGAAAACAGATGAATACATATTCTTATTATTCCCATTTTGCAGATAAGAAAAGTGAGGCTCAGCTACTTGAGGGTGAGGGGGCTGAGGTGGGAGAATCACCTGAGCCTGAGAGGTCAAAGCTGCAGTGAGTCATGATTGTGCCACTGCACTCCAGCCTGGATGACAGAGTGAGACCCTGTCTCAAAGAAAAAAAGAGAGAGAAAGAAAGAAAGATGGAAAGAACGAAAAAGAAAGAAGAAAGAAAGGAGAAAGAAAAGAAAAAATAAAGAGTAAGAAGAAAGAAAAAGAAAGAAAAATAAAGAAAGAAAGAGAAAGAAAAAAGAAAATAAATAAAAAGAAAAAGAAAAGTGAGCCTTTCTGAATTTCTGAATTTGCATGACTTGTCTAAGGTCACACCACTAGTAAGTGTCAGGGCCAGGGTTTAAACACAGATGGTTTGACTCTGGTATCATTTACTGCTCTATTATATTTTCCATAAGATATACACTACATAACCCTTCTGTATCTTATTCTTTAACCTCATAATATATTTTGATCATGTTCCTATATGAATAAATATCTATCTACATTATCTTAATGGCTGCACCAATAATGGGGTAAGGATACAAAGGGTGGAGTCCAAATTCTTCTGCTTAATACTCACATGATCTTATTGCTTTATGCCTTTGTAAAATAAAAACATTAGTAATAATACCCATCACACAGTGTTGAGAGATTTAATGTACATAAATACAATTTGTAAATCAAAACATTCTGTGTAAGTGTAAGTCATGGTGGTCACTGTTATTACTAACTAAATATAAATTTCAGGAACAGGAGAATCCCCACCGGTAGGGGTATTGCAGGTAATGGATCCACTGTTACATGGATGTGCTTACCTTCTGGAAATTCACCGTCATTTGTGCCTTTATTTTATATGTTATACTTTAATGTAAAGTTTACATTTAAAAACCCGTTCATGGATGGCTCCTCCTTTCCCATGGAATTCAGTACGTACCAGTTTCTGACTCTGGCACTCAGAGACCTCCACAATATGACCATCCCTACCTTCTCAACCTAAACACCCCAGCCCAACCCCACCAGGAGGTGAGCCATTCTTTTCGCCCATCCTCCCCTTCCCTGCTTCCATGTCCTCCCCGCTGCTACTCTTCTCGATATCACCTTCTCTGTGTGTTCTTCCTTCCTCTTGGCTCAGCCCTGTCTCTGAGGGCCTTTTTTCCTTAAGTTCCCATGCTGGGCCCTACTCATCAGAGGCATTCTGCCAACACATACTGCCTGGATGGGACCTGCCAGGGTCACAAGGCAAGGCCTGCAGTTCTGGAAGCTCTCCTTCATGGTTTCCTCTTTCATAGAGGACACTGACTTCACAGAGTTTTGACCTGGGATGGTAAATGTTTGAACACATTTCCGACCTGATTTGAGAAAAGCCTCACAGCTTGAAATGGAGCCACCACTATTTTTGCCCTGCCTATAAGTCCTCTGTGTTTTCTTCTCAGCTAAAGTATAAGTTCTGGGGGGCAGGGGTCATGAGCTGTGTGTGTTTGCATCCACTTCCCACTGACCCCCACCATGGGCACGCACGTGGTGTGGATGGAGTCAACACTCCATGGATCATGGCACGATGGTTACTGGTTGGGATGGGTTGCAGCATATTGCTAAGAAACACACCGCTACCTGCTCTACTCGCCATCTCTCTAGGGCTCTTTTACACTCAGAAAGACACCTGGCCATTGTTTTCAGTCCTTGAGCCAAATAAAATAAAGCTGCAGACTATTGCTAAGGCTGCAAGGCTCTGATGTGGCCAGGGGCTCAGAACTAACTCATCGGAAGCCCTCCTGCTAGGGAATTGAGAGATAATGGAACATATTAGACCAGGGGTTGTCAGGCTTTTTCTGTAAAGGGCCAGATAGTAAATATCTCAGGCTTTGCAGGCCATGTGATCTCCATCACAATGACTCAACTCTGCTGCTATAGTGTGAGGGCAGCCACAAACATGACATAATCAGAGTGTGACTGTGCTCCAATAAAACTTTATTTATGAGCACTGAAATTTGAATTTTGCGTGATTTTAATATTACAAGATAATCTTTTGACTTCTGTAACCATTCAAAGCTATAAAACCCTTTCTTAGCTAGTGTGCTGCAGTTTGCCAACTTCTGGGTTAGATCACCAAAGGGAACATTTTATTCCCATTCATGGAAGGGCTTCTCAGACAACTTGCCTCAGAGTCACTGAGAGGTGAGGTCAGGGTGACGGAGAATGCCTGCTAAAAGTGCGGGTTTCTGGTCCCAACACTGTAACTATTGAACCAGATTACCAGAAGAACAGCCCAGGAAACTGCCATCTTAGCAGACTCTCCTAGGTGACTGTGATGCCCACTAAGTGTGGAGAATCATTTTAGCTGAAAAGAAATCAAAAGCTTCTTAGAAAAGCTTTTTAATTTTGGTAGAAAAATGAAGCCAGTTGGGCTTGGTGGTGTGTGCCTGTAGTCCCAGCTACTTGGGCAGCTGAGGTGGGAGGACTGCTTGACCCCAGAAAATCAAGGCTGCAGTGAGCCATGATCATGCCACTGCACTCCAATCTGGGTGACAGAGCCAGACCCTGTCTCAAAACAAAAGCAACAGCAACAAAAATGAAAGAAGGAAAAATCAGGCCAACCAACAAGACAAGTGCTTCCTACTCAAGCAGGCTCTTTTAGGATACTTCTGAGGGCACGTTGGGTTCTCCCATTTGTAAGTTGTTTTAGTGTTCCTCAGACTGAGAATGTTGTGTTTCCAAAGAGAATGAGCAGAGGGCAACCCAAGCCTTTCTGGGGGACATGCTGTCTCCCCCAGAAGAAAACGGAGTTCTCCCACCAAGAACTTTATCCTTGCTTGGCCAAAACCTCTCCTCCAAGAGAAAGAGGGGGAGACTCATTGCTGTGGGGATGGGGGAAGGGGAAACATCTGACACTGTTCCAGGAGCCACTTCTAGCAGGGGCTCCTCTGCCCTCCATGTCTGCCATTCACCCATCACTTGTTGGCATTGGGTGGGGGGAGTCACCCCCTGTAACCTACTTTCCAAGGCTTGATGATTTTCT